TAGACAGCAGTATAGGTATATATTACGCTACTGTCACTTAATACATAGATCTAATATAAACATGCGATTTCTTTCCCAGCTGTTTACCTTCATAAACATAACCGACTAGTTTTTGCAACTTTTGAGCGTTTTTAACATAAACTTGTGTGTATTTGACAGTTTAAGTGCAATAAGACATGAAAGAGAGTACTCACATGCCGTGTGACAGCCGTTTTCTGTGCGCTAGCTTCGGATGTGTGCGATCAGAAAACCGTATATCAGAAGTTTAAACTAATATGGCTTTAAAACGCATGATTTGAGATACGAGCTGAAAAGGCACAGTCCTATTCTGGAAAAGGGGACGGGGAGCAGCAGCTCATTTACATTTAAAGAGACATGCACAAAATTATGCTAAAATGTACTTATTTTTCAGAAGGGGCATCACTTTTTGTCCTCCCAATGGTAGTCACTGCATCACTTGGTTCCTGTGAAATGATAGAGAATATAAGCATAATTAATCATTAAAAATATTGATATACTGTGCATGACGTCACCATTTTCACAAAGTCAAATTTCTGTTGTTTACACAGATATGACAACTGTATCTTGCACTTTGAGACCCGATTTCAAAAGATTGTGTTTTCAGTCCCCCAAAACACTGTTGTTGTGTAAATTAAAGGCAAAAATGCACGCATATTTTTTTATTTTTAGCTGAAAACAGTGTCATGGAAACACCTACTAACTCCTACTTGTACCGAAGCAGTAATTTTTTTTCTTCTGTGGAATGCAAAATAAGATACTTTGTATGGACAAAAACAGTTGAATTCTTCTTCAGTGTAAATCAATGGGGTCCAAACAACGCACTCACAGAGTCCTGCATCTAATGTACAAAAATAGAGCCTCTGGTATTAACATCCATCTAGGATGATCCGATCACAATTGGACGGCACTAAATACAGCGGTCTATAACATTTGGTGATCTGCTCACTGAACCATTTAGATGTTCATTAAGCAGACAACTTTATCCAAAATTTGATGTGTGCCTTCAAACTAAAATAAATGCCTGAAAATTTCAGAAAAGCACAAGACTCCAGAGAACTTCCTTGACTTCAATATGCAGTACATGTGTACATCCAAAGTTTTGCTAATAGCTAATACAGGAGCTCTGGTCAAATAACAATGAACACACTGCTATAATACATTAGGAATCAACAGTGTGTTGACATTTTGTATTTTCAACATGATGTATGTAGCCATGGAATCAGAGATCCGCCCCTTGGCACGTCACTGTCTGTGTAGACACAGTGTAATGCTGTGAGAGAGCTGGATAAACGAGAGTCACCCCTGGGTGACCCTACAGCATGAATAAGGTAATGAGACAAAGCCCTGATTTATTCCCATGTGAATATGAGGCACAGGCATTTGTACAGGTGAGTCCACCATAAATGCGAGGCTGCTATGCTGAGACCTGTCAGCTAGCCTCCATCATCTCCTGCATGCCCTCGTATCTCACAGATGTGTCATGTCATTCACTAATGGAAGCCCGAGGGCCCACAATAGCACACTACAGGCTTTTACTACTCGCACTATGCTACCAGGAAAGTCAAGGTTGCTTCGGCTTTATAGTGATTCACTTGTCATGTTCTTGTGTGTTGATTTGTGAACTGTGTGGAAAGACGGTTTGTGTATGTGTGTCTAAGACTGTGGTGTGTGGGAACGGTCACCTTTTGCTTTTCATGATGAATACCTAATTTTACACATGGTTTTAAAAATTAAAAGGCTTTTAACAGGGCGTTGTGACATTTCCAAATTCTCTGATTTCATTTATCTCGCCATCATTGATTCACAGTATCAATGCAGTTACAAATATCAAAGAAGCTAAACAAAGGAGACCACACAAAAAATGGCTATCACGGTAATGTCAGCACTCCGTTCAAAGTCTTTTCACCTGAGCTGGAGTCTTGATCTTGGGGTCACTGATGTCAAAATGCTATTGGTTATGGTGTGATTTCAACTCATTTTATTTAGTCTCGAGCAAGACTGTATGACATTCACATTACATGATTTGACTGATTTTTACGTAGAAAGGGCAACAGCGCACCGCATTAAAATAAATGATCATTCATGTTTTCATAACCGCTGGCCAAATTCAAAAACGAAACTAAAATTAAATAATCTTTGAGAGCAAGGGGGCCCCCTGGAGTTTCGGGGGCCCTTCGCAGCTTGCGTATTTTGCGTATAGGGAGGATCGGCTCTGACTGTTATATTGTCAAAATACATTTATGTCTTTGATTTTATAGAACCAGAATCTACTGATGTGGGGCTGACGTGAGAATAACTGACTCACTGATATTCTAGCAACGTCAACATCAAGGGTTTGATTCTCAGTGGAAAGCATGAACTGATAAACATATATAAATTGAATGCAACGTAAAGCATCCTTCGTTCTTTGATTAACTATTTGTTTATCATCTTTTAGAAATGGTAGTTACTTGCTTTTCAGTGTAAAATATTCTCTATGGCTCTGTTCAAAATGTGCCAGCTGAATTTTTTATATAATAAAGAAATTAAAAAAAGGAAAAGTCCTTCAGTCTGTAAGGAATGTGTATTAATTTAGAACCTGAATGAATGTATTTAGAAAGTTGGTCACTCAAAACCTTGGCAGATACAGAAAATAGTAGTACTTGAGGTTTCATTGTTATTTCAGAAAACGATTAACCCCAACCTAAAATGTAAATGTGCAGTCAGAACTAGAAAATGTGTCCCGTGTCCCATACTCCATTCTGCTGACACTGTTCTGTGCTTAAGGTGAATAAACATCCCCCAAGTCGTCATTATCTCGGGCTTGCTTGTGATAAGATAAAGCGGCCCATATAGACTGGTTCAAATGTGACATCTCTTGTGGGTTTTTATGCTACATTTGCTAAAAGCCGGACATTTAGCGAAAGTATATATGCGAGCACACAGAACAGTTCCCAAGCGACTGTTTTGCAAGCCAATCTACAGTCGTCCTGAGGGGAGACGGACTCAACACTGTTCTCTGTTGAGCTGCTAATCACGGGACACTGTCTAATAATTGACTCAGCACAGAAGGAGGGGTGGCCCGGGCCACCCTGAGGCTTATAAGCTCACTGCTAACAAACACAGCTTGACATCCCTTTCTTCAGCTCATGGAAAGTTAAAATGAGCAGACAAATTGTCGTTTTCACGCAGTCCCCTAATGACGCACTCATAAACGCACTTATTATGTCACATTTGGTATTCTCTTTGGTCGGAGGGCTGCTGTGATCAGCAGAGACTGTTTAACTCGAGCAGACATGGGACAGAGCTGCAGTGGAATGTCTGGCCCTTGTCCTGAATGCAGGGAAAGCTGTGGGGACAACTGTCACCGGGACGAGCCCTGTGTGGATCGCTGCTGTAACCTGTGCTGTCAGTTCTGTCTGGACGGCTGCTGTCTCATCTGCCCAGATGACTGCAGCTACACGCTGTGTTACACGTGCACCACGATTGCCGACTCCTGCGCTGCCATTCTGATCACCCAGCAGCCCAGATCTACACAGAAACCAAGAGAAGGTAGGTGGAGTAACAAATGAGTAGTGCACATGTGTTAGGTCCACCATGAGTATATTAACTAGTGCATTGCTGTGGCTCCAATGTTAGAATTTGATGGCATATTCCAAGCTATTGGTAACACTTTACATTATTTGCATTTACTTGATTTATTTACATTATCACCTGTGTGAAGAAGAAATGCACTTTATTGTATTGAATGTGCACTTGTACTGTACTTCAAATCTTAAAAGTGCATGAAAACTGTACTTGCAGATAACATAAATCAATTAAATAAAAGCTACGTAAGTGTACTTATGATTTCAGAGAGTATGATTTCATTATGTTTCTTTTAAAATGCGCACTTTATAATAATGTCAAATTACAAGTTACTTTAAAGCACATTTTAAATGATTGTTTTAATAAACTTTTGTCATACTTTACAGTACACTTGTTTTTATGTGTTGCCCAACATAAAGCAAAAGCAAAGAACTTGATTGTAATTTCAACTGTAGTGTATTATTTGAAAATATCTTGAAAAGTTAATTGTGATGAGTGGGGGGCGGCTCTCCCACGGCTCTCGGCCCCGCCCCCAATCGTCACATAAATATATTTGGTAACAATTATTTTGATAGTCCACTTTAGACGTTCTGCTAGCTATAAGTAACTTTGCAAGTGCATGTCAACTTATTCTTCTATTATTCTAACCCTAAACTAACAGTATGAGAATTAGTTCACATGTAGTTGCAAAGTTACTTATAAGGTCCATTTCACCAAATATGTCACTTACGCCCTTCTGGTTCTCACCCCTCGATATAGCAATTGATCAAAAGTGACAGTAGACATTTATGTTGCCAAAAAAGAGAGAGAAAGAAAGAGATGCCAAATAAATGTAGTTCTTCATCACAGAATTGATAAAAAAAAAAAGCATGAGTAATATAAGAATTATTAACATTTTACGTAATGTTTTTATTTTCTTTCTTTTCTTTCTTTATAGGTTCTCATTTGGAAGAAGGCCAGGTGATTTAGATCATCTGATGAATGTAATGTAAACTAATGGGCTGGATGAAGACCTGACTCCTACTTCATGATGCCATTCTCTGTATAGCAAGAGACTGAAAAACATGAAAGAAGTTCATTGAAAGTGCATTTGTAGATCATTTGCTACCTCTGTAATGAAGCCCGTGCTATATTGTGTATACACTGTATTGTACACTACTGTATAGATTTAATCGCCAAATACAACTGATTCTGTGAACACAAGTGTCATCTGTTAAATGTATCTAGAGGATCTATTCAAAAGTAAAACCCCTTGTGCAATCATGCAAAATAAAAAAGGCTTTGCTTGACGTGGTATGCGCCAGAATGACTGACTCTCAGAGGACAGGCTGGAAAAACTTGATTTGCACACCCTGTGGAACGCGCCGTCACAGAGGTACAGTACTTATATTTAGGAGTCCACCCAGGCGTGCGTCAGATCAGCCCTGTCAACATCACGAGAAAGACAACTTGGGTACATGACTTTTAAAAGGTGAAAAGAGGACAGGAGATACAAAAGAGGTAAACAAGATCATCTGAGAAGCAGAGAATGTCGTTTCTATGCTCTTTTCTTCTTTTGTGGCAGTGCAGTGATTGAGGATTTTAATTTCTACTCAATTTCAAGAAAAAAAAACAGAAGTGGGACTGAAGAAGAGAGGATTATTGAAGAAATAAGAAGACTCTAAACGTCTGAAGACGCTTGACAAAGGTACATTGAATTGAAATGGCAGTTCTCTGGTAATTTGAGTAATCTGAAACATATCCATCGCCTGCAGCCTTATCCTTGGGTAAATTATTTGATTGGAACTGATCTTTTGGTGTGAAAAGTTTGGTTTAATAAAAGCGTCCTCTGTTTTATGTCTTTAGGAGCTTTAAGCTGTGAGTCTGTGAAAGAGGAACAGATGACTAGGAGGAACTCAATGCTTGTTTTGAATGATTTTGCTGGCATTTCGCCCTTGAGCTCTGCTCTATAGAAGGGCTGAGCTTAATACCGACGCATTCATCTCGCAACTACGTCACTTGTTGCACCCGTTTAAGTCATCACAGAAAGCCAAATGCAAAAAAAACAACCGAGCACCGTCACATGTTTAGCTAATTGTTCAAAACAACATTCTGACTTGTGCATTCTCCATGTCAACAGAATTCAGATAAAGCTTACGTGATCCATAGAGCATTGATTTATTTCCATATCAGTTAATGACAATGAAAGGCTGTTCTCAGATACTGGAACCTAATTACAATCGATTGATTCTCCGCATCCGTGAGTGACGGTGTAACTGTCTCATCCTCCCTCAGGCCTGCAGGAGACCAGCCATGGAGGAGGATTACAAGAGACCACCACCATCCTATGAAGAAGTTATAACCGAGCAGCACACGAGCAACACTAGTCAGAGCCACACTGCTGATAACAGGCAGGGCTGCTGCTGCAGATGTTGCATTAGCACCAAGAACTGTCTGATGAGTCCGGAGTGCGGTCGAGCTCTTAACATCGCCAGCGTGATTGCCATGTGTGGCATGTGTATTCGAATGTTTGTCTGTAAGTACCATTTATATGTCTTTACCATTTAAAAGTTTGGGAATTTTTTTGGGAAAGAAAAAAAAACTTTTATTCAGCAAGGACACATTAAAATGATTAAAAGTGACAGTAAAGACATTTCAAAATGTTGCAAACGATTTGGATAACACTTTATTTTAAGGTATCCTTACATGTACTTACTGTTATAATAACAATAAATTATGCATAATTACTTGCAAGTAACCCTAAGCCAAACCCTAATCCTAACCCTAACCATACAGTACATGTAGTTAATTAATATTACTCAGTTCTTAAATGTATAATTACTCTGTAAAAAGGACACCTTAAAATAAAGTGTAACCGAGATTTGTATTGAATTCTGTTTCATTCATTAAATAATCTTGTATTACGTTATACAAATAATCTTGCATACAATGTATCACGGTTTCCGCACCGATAATAATAAGAAATGTTTCTTGAGCAGCAAATCAGAATATTAGAATGATTTCTGAAGGATCATGTGACACTGAAGACTGGAGTAATGATGCTGAGAATTCAGCTTTACCATCACAGGAATAAATTATGTTTGAAAATATATTCAAAATAAAAACAGTTACTTTAATTTGTGATAATATTACAGCATATTTTTGCTGTAATTTTGATCAAACAAATGCAGTCTCAGTCAACATAAAATACTTTTTTATTTCAAATAAATTAATAAATACAAACCCCTTTTGCATGGTAAATAGGAGGCAAGACAGGCAGTAGCTCCTCAAAATAAATCAAATAATAATTATTTAATTAATTGAATAAGTAAGTAAAAAAATGTTAGATGAGTCAAATCAGACAAACTGGTACAAATTCTAATTACAAGGTAAAAAAACTTTACTTTGGTGCTATCCTAATTAAAGTGAACTTCAAATGATTGCTTATCTTTAGACTTAAAAAAAAAAAAAAAGTGAGTGAGCCATCTGTCTGAATATATGGTATACTATTATACAAATAATAGCAGAAGAACTTAGACTTTGAATAAATAGTATAATTAAATAGTATGTTTATGTCTCAAGTGTAAGATCGTGTTCAATGTGCCTAAAGTGTGTGTGTGTGTGTGTGTGTGTGTGTGTGTGTGTGTGTGTGTGTGTGTGTGTAAACATGATTAAAGAAGAACTGCAACAGGAATTTTTATTAGACTCAAAAGCCCACCAGGTATATCTTGTTAACAAAGCAAACATAGCACTTCTGTGCTCTGCTGTTACAGCTCTTATATTATTATATTACAGCTTCACTGTTATTTCAGATTATGTGAAGGTGACTTGCTGAAATTTGTCATCCACTTACTGTTTTTCTTTCTTTTTCAGAACACAGTCTCCTGTGGACCATTTATTCCAGATCTCTCATCCAGTGGTGGCCTTCTCAAATTAAAAAGGAAACAAAGACATTTGCTCTGTTCCAAAACCTAGTGATCTGCAACATGTATAAGCGTTCCCCCAATACGAATCCCAATGCTGTTCCAAAAAGGATGCAGCACTGCATTTATCCTTAACAGATAAGGTAATCCCAGAACGAACTGACTAAAATTTCCATTTCGAATAGGAAACGTCAATTGCGAAGTATAACTTATAAATACAAAGTGATTCAGTACTGACAAATATCATTGAAAAACACTGCCATGTCATACAATCTAGTCTCCTATGTGATTCTTGGGCCTCATTCATGAAAAAGTAGCACAATAAATTCATAAATCGTTTGTAAAATCATTCCTATATTCAGTGTGGCATTTAATTAAATCGGCATGAGTGACCACTTAAGGTGCGGTCACATTTATCATTGTTAGATGAAATAGACAAGTAATTTCAATAGGGGTCCAAGTTATAAGGAATTTTCTTGAGAGCAAAAGATTTCCCCAGGCAGATTTCAGTTAAAGTTGGTAACACAAATTCATCGTGTTGAATTGACCAACAGAAAGATAATGAAAATGAATTCTGTTTGAGATAACAACATGCGATGACAATGGGCCTTTTTTTGTCTGCAAAATTTTGCTAATGTGACTGTACCTTTCCAGTATGTAATTCCATTCTGAAAGACAGTAGTATTATATAGTTGTACTAATATTTTCTCTCTAATCCAAGTCCTTTGTTTATGTAGAGCTTTATACAATATACTTTGCACAATACTAAACAGGAAAGAAACAGAATCAGTGATGCAAACTTAAAAAATAAGAGGTCATCCAAATAGGCCCGTAACCAGATGAGGCCACCAATGTCCGGACCTTGGTAAATTTTTCATGTTCAAAAATAAAATTTGTTCTTTGAATGACTAATTTGCTGTTAAACTCCTCATATGAATGCCTGCATGACATGTATAATTCAGTTTAGACAGTTTACAAGAATGTTTAGCATCCGTGGTATGAAAATGATCGCTGTGAGACACTGACGGAGTGAACAAGTCTTGAGAGAGTTGTGAGGGCACGGCACAGCCTGTGTTGCCAGATCCATACGCAAAAAAACATCATGATATTATCTGTCAGAAACATTATCAACGCTGTCAAAAACAGTAGCATTTAACACTAGTACACACAGTAGAACAAGTAGATTACAGAATGAAATGAAATGTGCAAAAACTAGCCATGAAGAAGTCTTTGCCATCATTGCCATGTCATTCAGTATAGTTAAATTTTCACAAATCCTGGCGGAGTGAACGAGTCTTCTTGAGAGAGTTGTGAGCGAGGGCGAGGGCGCAGCCTCCATGTTGCCAGATCCATCTATTATAAGCATTTTTGGACTTGTCTTTTCCACTTAATTTAACACTTTAGAAAGTTAATAAAATAAGAAGTTGCGGTTTAGAGTCAGCGATATCTTATTTGCAAAAGATTGGAAATAATTTTGGTTTATTTTTTATTTATTTTTTGTTTTTTGTTTGTTTAGTATCAATATCTGGCAACACTGCCAGGCACTTAAAGGGTTAGTTCATCCAAAAATGAAAATTAGGCTGTGTTTTACTCACCCCCGATGCATCCTAGGTGTATATGACTTTCTTATTTCAGA